AAAAAAAGCTGCCAGGGTTTTGGCTACCACAACAAAAACTTGACTTGCCTGAATCTAGAAAATGGTTCCCTAGATCTTATGAAAATTCAACCATCCTTCATTATGTGAGAATTCCAGTGTTTTTCATTCTTTATAATTTGTTCGTTACATGATTCCACTTCCTTGCTGAATCATTTTACTTGTTACTTACCCTCCTCCTATCATAAGGCTTTTGTCATCTCCAGCCATAAACAAATCTGTGGTACCCAGGCCCTTCTTCTGTAACCCTGTCCATGCATACTTAGCCGGCCTGGGACTGAGCCTAAATACAAAACTCTCCCCAGTACCAAAGTATGTAAGAGTCTTGCGGCCAGCATTTCTTTCAGCCCAGCTGGTAGTTACAAAACCACCAAAGACCTGTTGTTGGATAAATGCAATATTTTAAAAGTAAATTATTACTGTAAAGTTTAACCAAAAAAGGGATGAATTATGAGCTGTGATATATTGCAAAACAGAGACTGGACACAATTTGTGAGTTTTACTTTACATGAATGTAATGCAGGTCAAAATTACATGGACATCACTCTCTGAGTAATAGGCCTGCAATATGTGCAAATTGCTTCAGCTACATGTAATTTTCTACACTTTTGTCTACCTGACCTACATGTACAGTGTAGGTAATCAAGCATCTATACAAATATATACTATACCTACAATGCAGGCTTATGCAGGCTTATGATACTTCTCCTCACAGAACATAATCCCACAACAAATGACCTGCATCTAGTTCTGTTAGAGCTGAATTACTTATTGGCTTTCAATCAGCCAGTTGTTACTTCTAAATGTCAGAACACCAGATTAACTGCTCCATTGAAGCAGTTTGCCAAATAGCAGTGGAATTCACTGGAACTTCATTTTCAAATAGTTAAAAATAGCTGAATTAGCAGTTATTTTTTATTTGAGATGCTACCCAGGACATTTTCCTCACCTCACCAACAGATGACTTGACTAACAGGATTGTCTCATCATCATCCTTGCATTTCTCGTAAAGAGTCCGAATGCTGAAACAACACAGAACCTGTCAATCATTCGACACAAAGAAATGATACTTTCATGCATTGGGGTGCTGAAGACAGCAGTACTGGTTTCTTCAGCATGATGAAAAAAAAAAGGCAAAAAGAAAACAAAGATTAGTGTGCAAATCATGATTTTCTCCAACCACATTTTTAAACGGTTGTTAAAATCCTACCCATCATTACTCAGAATCAGTGACTTGCAGGGTACATATTTTACCTTGTGTGTCATTAAGAGGCTGTTTTACCTTGTTTCAGAAATATGCACAACTTAAAATGACTTGGAAAACCTGAAGGACAGGTTTTTTATACTGATTATAGAAGGACTAGGTAAGGCTGTTTTAGCTTGTTTCAGAAATGAATGCAAACCCAAAATGGGTTGGAAAAACTTGAAGGACATTCAGCTTTTATATTGATTATACAATGTCAATCAAATCAATGAAAAATCACATCTGGAAGATTTGCTTCTCGCCATTCAGCAAACCTCAATGTCTAATTTGGTTAGGACAAACTAGTTGAGTGACCTGTGATGTAAGGTTAAAAAACCCCTTTTTTTTTCATTGTTAACTCCGTAACTACATTATACCTGTATCCATCAGTATCTGTCTTGAATAAGCATACAGGTTTCTTGATACGCAGCCTGTCAGGTAACCACGACGACAGTAATTCCCACTACAAAAGGACATGGATCAAAAAGTGAAAAAGAAACACAATCATCTAGATGAAATGCATCCAAGAAAGTCTAAAGAGTAACGGTCAAATTTATGCTAAGGATGCTAAGAATAGACACGAGTAGCTATTCTTATGTTGCAAGTACATTGTGCATAGTGCTGGTGCCAGTCATACAGCTTAAGCAGTTCATTTTAAACCTTCCTCTTGAGTTTAAATTGTCAAGTAGACAAGCGACAAGAATAAACAAAATCAGAACTAAATTACCAACAAGAAATAAATAATTGAAAAACAAAAACCTCTTGAGAAGAAATTATGCTGGAACCTTTGACTGCAAACACTGTAAGGGATTGATTAAGTGTTTCCCAAGTTTGTTCTGGTACAATCAGTGATCCATTTTCCAGTAAAGTAATATTTTTACTCTTCAATCTATCCAGCTGCTTTCTTGAGAGACCTCGAATCCTGAAGGCAGTCTGTAGAAATTAAGAGAACAGCAATTTATACAATTTGTTCAAAAATAGAACTCAACAAAATGTGAGAAAAACAATGGTTACATAAAGACTACAGGCATACATTAAATATAATGTTTTCATAAAAGTTACCTGAAGAAGTTTGTATCCTCTCAATGGCATCAAAGAAGCAAACTGCTTGAAAAGTTCCTCCAAGTTACCATTTTCTGACACTGCTTCTGAAAATACAACAACAGTGTGTAAATTGAAGTCACTGTAACTTCCCAACATTGAATATATTGTCAAGTAACAAACCATTGCATACATGTAGCAAGCATTTTAGGACAAACAAAGGGCCTTCTGGCCATGTGAAAAATTTGGGCAAGAGCAGAAAAATCAACGAAGTGAGAGATGACTTTGCTCGTTCCTCCTCTCAAACAGCATGCTTGCTATGCAAGCTATCAGTAACACCATCATTTTTAGTTAGCCTGGTATCATTACCTTCTTCTTCAATGAACTTTGCAAACTGGTTGAAGACAATCAAACCTACACGTACAAGAACTTTGGGCCCTTGGACAAGAAAACTATCAATGATGTAGACCTATAAATAACAAGAGATACATAATGAATATCTAACTGATTAAAAATATAATTACAAGTATTTTAACAGCAATAAACAAATAGCCATCCTTTGAAAGTAACTTTCAAAGTTTGCACCATGCAGGCATTTTCATCTCAGATAATTGCCATGTATCTGTTCAGTATTAGATCACAGATGACGTCAAAATGTGGCACCCTAATGCCTAACCTACCTGCGCAAAAAGCTACTGAAGTTCTTACTAACATTTTAACATCTTCAGCAATATATTACCGAACTGACTGGCAGAAACATCATTCGATGGGATCTATTAATCTTTCAAGTAAAAAGAAGCAAAACTTGATGCCATCTGTAAATCTATCCTCTAATAGTTAGCTCTCGTTAACTGAGCATGAAGTCTGTATGAGAGAATCTTGACCGAGGTTGTTCGTACAAACCGAATGCAGTGAGGTCTGTACACATGATCAAGGACAATATTCTCCCATACAGACTGACAAAGCTCAGTTAGTAAGATATATATTACATGCCAAACAAGAATAGTTTAATTTGTTTAATGTAACTGTGGCTTATACTATATGTAGCTGACTGATTTTGCTAGCGAATGGCGATGAGCTGAACTTAAATCTGTCAAAGTTTGCTCGTCCTCTTTACTTTTTTCTTCTCATCAGGTTTTTTGGCACTTCCACTGATATTTTTAGCAACAATTGTCAATATTCTTGTATATTAGTTTGCAACTTTGTTACTGCCAAATGTAACGGGTCCAGATGCCAGCCTCGATGGGAAAATCTAGAACGCAGTCAAAATCGATTTCAGCCAATCAAATTCATGAATTCAGTAGTTCCCAGTCCTTGTGAGACACAGCCATATAATAAATCATAGGTAAGAGCTGATCAAAATGTGAGAATATTTTGACTTATCAATATATAAAAAATAACTTACCAAAGTCCAAAAATCAATGTAATGAAACATCCAAATAAGCCAATCAGGAACTAGAATAGTATTCTTAGGTATCTGTTCTCCTTTGGCTGTCTGAAGGAATTCTTTTATCTGTTTATAAGATGACATCTGTGATGGAACATAAAAGAGAAGACAGGTATAATAGTGTACTTCAACTTTCCCTAATGAGAGCAACTTTTCATAATTTTCCCGATGAGGCAGCATGGCTGAGTGGTTAGGGACTAGGGTGGTGGACTTCATGGGTTCAAGTTCTGCTCTGACCACTAGCTGTGGTTGTTGTTTCACGAGGGTCCCGAGTTCAACTCCTTGGCTATGCTTGTAAATAGCCAACTGGTCTGGAGTTTTTCACCTTGTTATATTTAATTTGAAATATTTGTTTTTCAAATATAATAGCTTGGTCCCAGAAGCCTTTTGCTATAACATTGACTAAGGGTAAATAAAGGTGATTTATTTATTTTTCACATACATTGTAATATATTCACATGTATCAGACTTGGAATGATACAGTGGTAGGTACTTTAACGTCCAACTTACAAAATAAGACTTCAAGGAGTCCTGGAATGTTTTTGCCATAACAGCATAAGCTCTCTGACTTTGGTCCAACATGGATCGCCTGGAATCCATCAAGGCAGACAAGCAAGCATAACAAAGATTTTCCTCCATGAAATGAAGACATAATGATGCTAATGGAGGAACTACAGGTGCAAAATGGATATCTGGATGCATGTGAGAGAGGATGTAGAGTATTTTTAAACATGTTTTCTCTCCATCAGGTGATAAAAGATAAGCTGGAACATCTCTGGTGCCACTGAAAATGGTCGAAGGTATACTAGAAGGGACTTGGATACCTGCAGAACAGTGGTTACAAATAAACATATAAATATTAAATTATTTATTGAAAATATAGGAAATTGTTGCATAGTCTTTAAAAACCTATAGACTTGATTACTGGCCACTTTTCTGTAAAGGAGCCCGCTCCTCTAGGGAGAAATGGAGACCAAATTAAAAAAAGAGATAAAATTGAGCCTATTAAACATGTTAAATACATGTCAGCACTTCTTGTATTAAAAAAAGTAACTTAAAATATATTCAAAAACAAGAAAGCAATCCCTCAGGCCTATCCCCGGGAAACCCTTTGACTCTTGGAGGCTACCCAACAGAAACTATGGTGTGATAGGGTGAGGCAAACATTGAGGGTTGACACCAAAAAAATGTTCCATAAAATACATTATTCCCCTTTAAATGTACCCCAACTCCTCAAAAAGTACTTGTTTGGTTAGGCGCCCAACATGTGACAAAATTAATGACCTGAAATGTCCAAAACTGCAGTTTCAACCCCCTAAAAGTATTTTACACAACACTGCCACTTTTAAAGATTAAAAGTGATGGGTACTACCCCCACTCCCCCGCCCCCACCCCTCTGACATCTCTCATGTATTTATAGGTCTTGCTACTTTCTTACCCATATCATCAATCATTTCTTCATAGTAGTGAGGAGAATTGAAAATGATGTCTGCTCCACCACTGGCATCCTTCCATAGATCAGATCTTAGATTTGGTTGGACACCTTGTCTAACTAGCCTCTTCAATGTCATCGTTTCTTCATGTTCTGGATACTCTAGCCATTTTTGAAGCGCATCCCTGAATTCCTCTTCTGAATATTTTGCTTTGGGTGAATAGATTTTTGTGAAAGAATTTCTAGAATCCTGTCGAGAGGCTTTTCTAGATCCTCTCCTGGATCCCTTTGAAGTTCTCGAGTCATCTCTGTACAGTTTTCTCTCGGAAGATGTCTGTACCCACGAAGAGAAGTGAGCGACACTGACTTCAGCTAACTCCATTGATTTAACTGCGACGTCCGCAGAGCGAATAACAACAATACACAGCTGATACAAGCAAAATAATTCTACACGACAAATTTAAGTTAAGGCGAACATCGAATTAGTATATATATACACGATCTGTTTTTCTGAATACGAAGGAAGACTCTTCGAGGAAAAAGGATGCACTTGTAAGCGTTCGGTTCGGATTGTCACGTCCTTGTCAATTCGTGAAGCCTTCGACGATCGTCGACGGTAACGATATCTTGTAACGCAATACTACCAGCCAATCCTATGTTGAACGTAATCCATGAAGACTGAACATTGATTTGCGCTCCCTCCTCATTCTCGAGACAAGATTTTAAGTAATCTGCTACAAATTCAGGAAAACCTTGAAATTCTGGAACAACAAACAGAACAAAGTCCTTTGAGCGTCCATGTTAACTGAAGAAATACCCTTTGTTTTGGATCAACCAAATATGGTACCTTCAGTCCCAGGGCTAAGGAGGGCAAAGGGGCCTATTAGAAATACCGAAAAACCGCACAAAAACTCGCTGAAAATTGCAATTTAACCACAAAAAATTTCGTCCAAAACCGAAAACCGAATCTCTTCCTGTTATTTGATATTTCTAAGTCTAAACTTGTTTTACTTTCAAAGTTCCTTCAGCACTTCCCCTCGTTGGTACAGAACTCATCATAATCTAAAAAATTGCTTTATTTTTTTGTCAATTGGCTTCAGACCTATAGCAATGTGAAACTAGGNAGTTACAAAACCACCAAAGACCTGTTGTTGGATAAATGCAATATTTTAAAAGTAAATTATTACTGTAAAGTTTAACCAAAAAAGGGATGAATTATGAGCTGTGATATATTGCAAAACAGAGACTGGACACAATTTGTGAGTTTTACTTTACATGAATGTAATGCAGGTCAAAATTACATGGACATCACTCTCTGAGTAATAGGCCTGCAATATGTGCAAATTGCTTCAGCTACATGTAATTTTCTACACTTTTGTCTACCTGACCTACATGTACAGTGTAGGTAATCAAGCATCTATACAAATATATACTATACCTACAATGCAGGCTTATGCAGGCTTATGATACTTCTCCTCACAGAACATAATCCCACAACAAATGACCTGCATCTAGTTCTGTTAGAGCTGAATTACTTATTGGCTTTCAATCAGCCAGTTGTTACTTCTAAATGTCAGAACACCAGATTAACTGCTCCATTGAAGCAGTTTGCCAAATAGCAGTGGAATTCACTGGAACTTCATTTTCAAATAGTTAAAAATAGCTGAATTAGCAGTTATTTTTTATTTGAGATGCTACCCAGGACATTTTCCTCACCTCACCAACAGATGACTTGACTAACAGGATTGTCTCATCATCATCCTTGCATTTCTCGTAAAGAGTCCGAATGCTGAAACAACACAGAACCTGTCAATCATTCGACACAAAGAAATGATACTTTCATGCATTGGGGTGCTGAAGACAGCAGTACTGGTTTCTTCAGCATGATGAAAAAAAAAAGGCAAAAAGAAAACAAAGATTAGTGTGCAAATCATGATTTTCTCCAACCACATTTTTAAACGGTTGTTAAAATCCTACCCATCATTACTCAGAATCAGTGACTTGCAGGGTACATATTTTACCTTGTGTGTCATTAAGAGGCTGTTTTACCTTGTTTCAGAAATATGCACAACTTAAAATGACTTGGAAAACCTGAAGGACAGGTTTTTTATACTGATTATAGAAGGACTAGGTAAGGCTGTTTTAGCTTGTTTCAGAAATGAATGCAAACCCAAAATGGGTTGGAAAAACTTGAAGGACATTCAGCTTTTATATTGATTATACAATGTCAATCAAATCAATGAAAAATCACATCTGGAAGATTTGCTTCTCGCCATTCAGCAAACCTCAATGTCTAATTTGGTTAGGACAAACTAGTTGAGTGACCTGTGATGTAAGGTTAAAAAACCCCTTTTTTTTTTTCATTGTTAACTCCGTAACTACATTATACCTGTATCCATCAGTATCTGTCTTGAATAAGCATACAGGTTTCTTGATACGCAGCCTGTCAGGTAACCACGACGACAGTAATTCCCACTACAAAAGGACATGGATCAAAAAGTGAAAAAGAAACACAATCATCTAGATGAAATGCATCCAAGAAAGTCTAAAGAGTAACGGTCAAATTTATGCTAAGGATGCTAAGAATAGACACGAGTAGCTATTCTTATGTTGCAAGTACATTGTGCATAGTGCTGGTGCCAGTCATACAGCTTAAGCAGTTCATTTTAAACCTTCCTCTTGAGTTTAAATTGTCAAGTAGACAAGCGACAAGAATAAACAAAATCAGAACTAAATTACCAACAAGAAATAAATAATTGAAAAACAAAAACCTCTTGAGAAGAAATTATGCTGGAACCTTTGACTGCAAACACTGTAAGGGATTGATTAAGTGTTTCCCAAGTTTGTTCTGGTACAATCAGTGATCCATTTTCCAGTAAAGTAATATTTTTACTCTTCAATCTATCCAGCTGCTTTCTTGAGAGACCTCGAATCCTGAAGGCAGTCTGTAGAAATTAAGAGAACAGCAATTTATACAATTTGTTCAAAAATAGAACTCAACAAAATGTGAGAAAAACAATGGTTACATAAAGACTACAGGCATACATTAAATATAATGTTTTCATAAAAGTTACCTGAAGAAGTTTGTATCCTCTCAATGGCATCAAAGAAGCAAACTGCTTGAAAAGTTCCTCCAAGTTACCATTTTCTGACACTGCTTCTGAAAATACAACAACAGTGTGTAAATTGAAGTCACTGTAACTTCCCAACATTGAATATATTGTCAAGTAACAAACCATTGCATACATGTAGCAAGCATTTTAGGACAAACAAAGGGCCTTCTGGCCATGTGAAAAATTTGGGCAAGAGCAGAAAAATCAACGAAGTGAGAGATGACTTTGCTCGTTCCTCCTCTCAAACAGCATGCTTGCTATGCAAGCTATCAGTAACACCATCATTTTTAGTTAGCCTGGTATCATTACCTTCTTCTTCAATGAACTTTGCAAACTGGTTGAAGACAATCAAACCTACACGTACAAGAACTTTGGGCCCTTGGACAAGAAAACTATCAATGATGTAGACCTATAAATAACAAGAGATACATAATGAATATCTAACTGATTAAAAATATAATTACAAGTATTTTAACAGCAATAAACAAATAGCCATCCTTTGAAAGTAACTTTCAAAGTTTGCACCATGCAGGCATTTTCATCTCAGATAATTGCCATGTATCTGTTCAGTATTAGATCACAGATGACGTCAAAATGTGGCACCCTAATGCCTAACCTACCTGCGCAAAAAGCTACTGAAGTTCTTACTAACATTTTAACGTCTTCAGCAATATATTACCGAACTGACTGGCAGAAACATCATTCGATGGGATCTATTAATCTTTCAAGTAAAAAGAAGCAAAACTTGATGCCATCTGTAAATCTATCCTCTAATAGTTAGCTCTCGTTAACTGAGCATGAAGTCTGTATGAGAGAATCTTGACCGAGGTTGTTCGTACAAACCGAATGCAGTGAGGTCTGTACACATGATCAAGGACAATATTCTCCCATACAGACTGACAAAGCTCAGTTAGTAAGATATATATTACATGCCAAACAAGAATAGTTTAATTTGTTTAATGTAACTGTGGCTTATACTATATGTAGCTGACTGATTTTGCTAGCGAATGGCGATGAGCTGAACTTAAATCTGTCAAAGTTTGCTCGTCCTCTTTACTTTTTTCTTCTCATCAGGTTTTTTGGCACTTCCACTGATATTTTTAGCAACAATTGTCAATATTCTTGTATATTAGTTTGCAACTTTGTTACTGCCAAATGTAACGGGTCCAGATGCCAGCCTCGATGGGAAAATCTAGAACACAGTCAAAATCGATTTCAGCCAATCAAATTCATGAATTCAGTAGTTCCCAGTCCTTGTGAGACACAGCCATATAATAAATCATAGGTAAGAGCTGATCAAAATGTGAGAATATTTTGACTTATCAATATATAAAAAATAACTTACCAAAGTCCAAAAATCAATGTAATGAAACATCCAAATAAGCCAATCAGGAACTAGAATAGTATTCTTAGGTATCTGTTCTCCTTTGGCTGTCTGAAGGAATTCTTTTATCTGTTTATAAGATGACATCTGTGATGGAACATAAAAGAGAAGACAGGTATAACAGTGTACATCAACTTTCCCTAATGAGAGCAACTTTTCATAATTTTCCCGATGAGGCAGCATGGCTGAGTGGTTAGGGACTAGGGTGGTGGACTTCATGGGTTCAAGTTCTGCTCTGACCACTAGCTGTGGTTGTTGTTTCACGAGGGTCCCGAGTTCAACTCCTTGGCTATGCTTGTAAATAGCCAACTGGTCTGGAGTTTTTCACCTTGTTATATTTAATTTGAAATATTTGTTTTTCAAATATAATAGCTTGGTCCCAGAAGCCTTTTGCTGTAACATTGACTAAGGGTAAATAAAGGTGATTTATTTATTTTTCACATACATTGTAATATATTCACATGTATCAGACTTGGAATGATACAGTGGTAGGTACTTTAACATCCAACTTACAAAATAAGACTTCAAGGAGTCCTGGAATGTTTTTGCCATAACAGCATAAGCTCTCTGACTTTGGTCCAACATGGATCGCCTGGAATCCATCAAGGCAGACAAGCAAGCATAACAAAGATTTTCCTCCATGAAATGAAGACATAATGATGCTAATGGAGGAACTACAGGTGCAAAATGGATATCTGGATGCATGTGAGAGAGGATGTAGAGTATTTTTAAACATGTTTTCTCTCCATCAGGTGATAAAAGATAAGCTGGAACATCTCTGGTGCCACTGAAAATGGTCGAAGGTATACTAGAAGGGACTTGGATACCTGCAGAACAGTGGTTACAAATAAACATATAAATATTAAATTATTTATTGAAAATATAGGAAATTGTTGCATAGTCTTTAAAAACCTATAGACTTGATTACTGGCCACTTTTCTGTAAAGGAGCCCGCTCCTCTAGGGAGAAATGGAGACCAAATTAAAAAAAGAGATAAAATTGAGCCTATTAAACATGTTAAATACATGTCAGCACTTCTTGTATTAAAAAAAGTAACTTAAAATATATTCAAAAACAAGAAAGCAATCCCTCAGGCCTATCCCCGGGAAACCCTTTGACTCTTGGAGGCTACCCAACAGAAACTATGGTGTGATAGGGTGAGGCAAACATTGAGGGTTGACACCAAAAAAATGTTCCATAAAATACATTATTCCCCTTTAAATGTACCCCAACTCCTCAAAAAGTACTTGTTTGGTTAGGCGCCCAACATGTGACAAAATTAATGACCTGAAATGTCCAAAACTGCAGTTTCAACCCCCTAAAAGTATTTTACACAACACTGCCACTTTTAAAGATTAAAAGTGATGGGTACTACCCCCACTCCCCCGCCCCCACCCCTCTGACATCTCTCATGTATTTATAGGTCTTGCTACTTTCTTACCCATATCATCAATCATTTCTTCATAGTAGTGAGGAGAATTGAAAATGATGTCTGCTCCACCACTGGCATCCTTCCATAGATCAGATCTTAGATTTGGTTGGACACCTTG